TTCTTGTAATTTTGTTGCTAACGAAATTTGAATATTTTTACTCATGGCTTGTTCTTGACTTGAAGCCGCCGTCCGACTTTCATCAGCAATTTGTCGGATTTTTTGTTGACATTGTTTAAAAAGCTATAAAAAAAACATAATAATAATCAATTGTTGAATAATTATTTATTATGTTGTATTTGTTAAATCAATTAATTTTTAATTAATCTTTAATTACTTGTGTTATTTCCGATGATAAACGTTCTATCTCTCTTTCTTCTGCTGTTCGATCGTCAAATCCCGGTAGTGCATGTTTTCTATGTAATGATTCTAATGTTGGAACTATTGACCAAAAAAAAAAAAAAGTTGGAGGAAAAAAAAAATAGATCGCTTAAATATTAAATATTAAGAAGAAAAACTTACTAAGACTCTTTATTTGACTAATATCATCGTCAACCTCTTCGACTATATCTACCCTTAAAAACATATATAAAATATTAGATTACTACTAAATATTCAATCAACCATTCAACTAATATTCAAGCTTTACCATTTTGGAGGTAAAACCGAGAGTTCTATAACATGTTCAGAACCAGCTAATAAACCAGCGCGATCTGACTCGTTCGCTAAAGACCGAGAGTTACTGGATCTCGCAAAAGAATTTCGATATTGTAAAAAGAGCAACGTACGGCTTCTTGTAGTCATCGAATTCTTTGTAATAGTTCATCAATATTTCTTCTTACATTACACATAAAACCTCAATTTTGTTTAACGTGCATACGTGGCATTATTTACATATCTTTATCCACGTGTTTCACGTGTGCTAAATTATGAGTAATGCTGCAGAATTGGAACCGCAGGGGTTTTTAACATTCTGTCGTCAAGCAATTGGGTAAGCTTGACGACAGAATGTTAAACATTTCCTGCGGTCCTAATTCGGGTACTCGTTTGCGGAACACAATTTCTGCGGTGATAAAATGTTAATTCCCGCAAAACTCTGCGCTAATTCTGCGCTAATTCTTGTGTTTTGACAAGAATCATGTGAGCAGTTTCACCGCCAAGGCCTTTTTGACCATGTCCAACGTCCAAATGTCCAAGTGTCCAAGATTGTCCAAAGCATTTCCAAGCTCTAATCATTAATAAACTTGTCTGAAAATGATTATATATTTTTTTAGGTTTTTCACTTAGAAAATTATATAGATTATCTTGGTAAAATTTTGAGTAATTTTAATTTATATTTTTGTTCAAAAATGTCCAAAAATGTCCAAACTCATGTCCAAAGCTGTCCATTGACAACACTGCATGTGAGTGCTGCCAAGAGAAAACGAAAATGGCCCTTCGGATTTAATTATATTTTGTACCGGACACAATCTATCTAATTTATTAAGGATTGTGTCCGATAAAAAATCCAAAGTCTTTGGCAGCATTCATATATAATCGACCGGCATTACGCTCCGTAAATCCGGCCGGGTAAAAAAAAGAATTTCAAATCACGTGCCATATACGTCGTACTTGACGTAGCGAGAGTTAAATAAATTATATGAAGATCATGAAGATAAAATACAAATCTTTATTTTTTTTCCTTATTTCATTTTTCGTTCTTTGCAGAATTGCTTTCAAATATTTTAGCAAGTCGGCTAATAGGTGACATAAAACCTTTATAACGCGTGAAGACTTGGATTTTGGTATTAAGGTTTTACAAGATCCAGCAAATATAATAATAGGGAATGTGAAAGATCTTTATTTTTGAATTTATATATTTATTTCGCGAATCGAGATTTATAAACCTAATATACTGTATAGTTTATTATATTAGCAAGTATATATATAGAAACAAATAAAATATTGCCATCGATATCACATTTTAATAAATTATATACGCTCAAAGATAAATAATTAACTATTTTACC